TCATATTCATATTCAAACTACTGTTCATATTCATACTACTGTTTACACTCACACTGCTGCTTATATTACACTACCGCTGATATACAAATATATTTTTTACTAGTCTTATTGCATATGTCACTTTACCTACACCAATATGAAGGACTTCATACATACACCGTGTACATTCACTTCATATGCTGCTTTGCCACTCACTACAAATATCAATGTCAGGACCTTCATTTCATTTTATTTTATAGATATACTTTTTTTAAATATTTTTATACCGCTATAGTACAATTTAAGACAGTATCATGCTTTTATTATTTCATTTTATGTTTATGTTTAATAAATGTTTTAAATGGTTATTGTTGCCCCGGGGTCTGAGAGAAATATAATTTCAATCCTGTGTATGTCCTGTACATGTTGCAGCTTTTGACAATAAAGTGACTTTGACTTGACAGTTCTTAACCCAGTTTTAGTTTCTTCAATCTCCTGAGATGTTTCCTCTGCTTGATGCCGATGATTCGACCCTTCTCAAACAGACGGACATCTTTTCCACGACCACCATGAGTCTTTCATCATGTTGTTGAAGAAATGAGAAGCAACTCATTGCACCAGTTGGAGTTAAAGAACTTGTTGCAGCTGAAAGATGATCGTCCGTGCAGTGATGATCCAGCAGGAGGCTCAGACCCGTTTCATTAGTTACATCCAGGTGGAGAGTTTTTTGACCAGGCAGTGCAGATTATGTTCTTTAATGAATAAACTTGTAAACTTTATTATCAAAACACGTCATTTCTCACAGACGTCAAAAAGAGTTACTAATATGAAACACCCAAACTTTGCAAAATGTTGAAAAGTTGTCTTCAAACAAATAAAACTGTTTTTTAATTTCTTAAAGGAACAGTTTTACTATTTAGCTAATATAAAAACATCTTGTTTTCAAACTGTTCACATACGATAGGAAATTAAAAAGAGGTGGAACATTGATTTGAGCAACATTTGTCTTTTCTGTAACATGAGGTCAGAGGTACAGTACTGGTAACCACAGGAGGTCTCTCTGAAGAGAAGTGGTAAAAGTTCTCAGAGAGGTGTTATCTTAGGAAAAAAAAGTTTGTGTTCTCAATCATCCAGGTAAATAACAACAAAAAGGTTAAATCGTGTCATCTGGACCAGTTTCTTTAAGGGAGAAACGTTTCATTTTCCATCCAGAAGACTTCATCAGTCTGTGGCCTGGTCTTGGCTAACTGTCCTCAGGTCTCATAGAAGTTTCTTTGAAGCAGCTACATCCGGTGTTGTCATGGTGACCAGCACCTCTCGGCTCCCTGAGGTACGCCACCAAGCTCCGTCTCTTTGACAGGGAACAAGCTGATAAAATAACCACGTCTCCTTTTTACTGCCGAACGAGCTGAAGGTGTTTGGTGCACGTTCTGGTCATCAGGAGGAGACGGTTAATCACCAGACAGTCTCTGGGCTTGGACTAGATGTGGCTTCATTTTGATGCTTCTAGGACACTACAGTGTAAAAAACCCAGTTGACCTTTGACCCCACCCATGTTGACAGGCAGCTGCTTCTCTAATCTCGTTGCTGATGTCTTTCTACTCTGGCGTTGTTAAGACTAGGGGCGTCCAAATTCTCGTTCTTTTCAGACCAAGTACAAGTACTTCTGTGTGACTACTTGTACATAATGAGTACTGGTACTGAGTAGTTAACGAGTTAGTAGTTAAACTTTACACGGTGACTTTAGAAACATGTTTCTTTGATTGACAGTCTCTGTCTGAACGTCACCTGTCCATGCATCCATCCATCCATGCATCCATCCATCCATCCATCCATGCATCCATCCATGGACGGACGGCACCTGTTTATCTTAAAATGCCTCCAAATGATGAACAGTTTCTAGTTTTGGTTCTCGGCTGTAAAGCAGACGTTGACGTGGCATCAGTTTGATTTTCAGATGTTTCTATGAGTTCTCGGGGTCACACTGCTGCAGGTGGACTGGACTCTGAGCCAGGAACTGCTCCCGGCTCAGACCGTTTGTCTCCTTGTGTCTGCAGGTGAACGGGACGGAGGCGGACTACGAGTACGAGGAGATCACGCTGGAGAGGGTGAGTCTGAGTGAAACGTTGTTCTCATCCAGCTGAGCCTCTGTCAGAACCAAACCGGCTGCTGCTGCTCTGACTCTGCGTGGAACGGCTGTCAGCTCGACTGAAGCAGCACGATAAACAACAACAACTGTGTTGTTTGTTCAGCTCCACACAAAAACAACAAACTGTCCCTCTAACATTTCCTCACTTTCTGCAGGAAGCACTGCTTTTATTTCAGAATAAAACCAGCTTTTATTATGAAAACTGCAGGAAGTGTGCTCGATGGAGGAGGTATAACTGGTTTTGTTCACTGTGTGGTTGTTTTTCCTCGTTGCCACGGTAACCGCTCCAGGGGAACTCGGGTCTGGGCTTCAGCATCGCCGGCGGGACGGACAACCCCCACATCGGTGAAGACCCCAGCATCTTCATCACCAAAGTCATACCTGGAGGAGCTGCTGCCCAGGACGGACGGCTCAGGTGAGGCTCAGTCACGTGCACGCACGCATGCACAGAGTTCATACGTTTGGAACGTTGGCCTCTGTCTGATCTAGGTATGACCTCAGGCTTCCTCCCAACTCAGGCTTGTTTGTTTGTTTTTAACGATAAATAAAAGTGGGAGGAGTCTAACAGCTGTGACGACTAAACAAGCTGTTTGGATCCATCTCACGGTGTCCCCCTCTGATCCGTTGTTTCAGGGTCAATGACGTCATCCTGAGAGTGAACGAGGCGGATGTCCGGGACGTGACCCACAGCCAGGCCGTGGAGGCGCTGAAGGAGGCGGGCTCTCTGGTCCGGCTCTACGTCCGCAGGAGGAAGCCCGTCTCGGAGAAGGTGATGGAAATCAAGCTGGTGAAAGGACCCAAAGGTAACCTGCAGGTTCTGCTCTCTGTAGACCTCGCCAACATGGCCGCCGGGTCACGTCTCTGTGTTAGAACCTCCTCCCATGTTCTGGTTCCTCCCAGGTCTGGGCTTCAGTATCGCAGGCGGAGTCGGGAACCAGCACATCCCGGGCGACAACAGCATCTACGTGACGAAGATCATCGAAGGCGGAGCTGCTCAGAAGGACGGGAAGCTGCAGATCGGAGACAAACTCCTGGCTGTACGTTCTGTGTGCGCAGATCACCGTGACCTTTGACCTGAGGCGAGAGGTGAGTTCAGATGTCCTGATCCCAGGTCAGTCAGCGCTCGTCTGTGTGTTCAGGTGAACAGCGTGTGTCTGGAGGAGGTGACCCACGAGCACGCCGTCACTGCCTTGAAGAACACTCCTGACGTGGTCTACCTGAAGGTGGCCAAGCCCAACAGCGTCTTGGTGAACGAGAGCTTCGCCCCGCCGGACCTGACCAGCTGTGAGTGAACATCACCAGAACTTCAGCTGGACACACAGGCACACATTGGTTTGGAGACAACCAGAGGAGGACGGGGACATGTTGGACAACGCATGCAGAATATTTAGCTAACAGGGAGGAGGACCTCCGGAGGTTTCTGTGATAGAGGAGGATGCTGGGAGATGTAGGCAGAGGATATTTCACATCTTGATTCAGCAGAACAAAATGGAGGAAGTTTAACCTTTTTATTTTTTTTTAGTTGTCTATAAACACGATTGTTCCTGACGAATCCTTCTAAATGTTTTACTTAGAATGGGTTGGTTGCTCCTCTCACCCCACGGGGACGTTACTGCCCTCCAGGGTTCCTCGGGGGACAAACAACCATTGAAATCCTTTATAAAGGCATTTCTAATCTTAGATTGATCTCATCATCCAATAATGCATTCCTCTCAGTAAGGTTCTTGTATTTTGCCCACAACTCTCGACTTTAGATTTCTAAATGACGTTTGAGGAACGCTGTAACAATCACTGGTGGGGGCGGGACTTACCTGAAGAGGCCCCGTCCTGTGCAGATTTTCAGACTAAAGGCCCTAAGGGAGCCAACATGGAAAATTAAAGTAATTTAAAGTAGGTATTTACATTTCAGGCTGAGATAGCTTTAAAACTTTGACTACTGTAATTCTTGGACTTTAGAAAGCACCTGTCTCTAAGCATCACACATTAAATATAATATAAATCATAATTTGTACATAAGACGCTCCGGTTATTTAGCCGCGAGCATCCACCGTTCATGGTCAGGACCTGTCCCCCCCCCAGTCTGCTCCAGCTGAGAGCAGCTTTCTGGTTGTAGTACAAGAAGCAGCCAGCAGGTGGAGCTTCACCGACTCCTGGTTACAACCATCAGACCTTCACAATGAACAAGAACCATCTAAACATCATCACTGGACAGAACAGAGACCAACACCTGTAAACAAAACCATCTCAAAGTTATTTACCAGTGACAAGTTATTTACCAGTAACAAGTTATTTACCAGTGACAAGTTATTTACCAGTAACTAGTTATTTACCAGTAACTAGTTATTTACCAGTGACAAGTTATTTACCAGTAACTAGTTATTTACCAGTAACTAGTTATTTACCAGTAACAAGTTATTTACCAGTAAATATTACACACAGTCTTACCGAGGTCGTGTGACATCAAGTCAAATGGAACCGGTAAAATACGGTAAATATTCTTTAAATTAGTCTCGTTGACTTTTATTGTTAAACACTTTTGTTAGCGGCTGTTTTTACTTAATAAATAAATTTGACGTGATTCTCAGCAGAGGTCATGTGACGCAGAGTAGCCCCGCCCTCCCTGTTGTCTCCTCCGTTCTGTGCAGAGTAGCCCCGCCCTCCCTGTTGTCTCCTGACCTGTCATTTCTAACCCGAGCCCTAAGCCCGGCCCCACCCAACCTGAATTCAGGGCGGGCCGGGCCGGTGTCGGTCTTTTAATTAGGTCAGGATTAGCCGCGATCCAATTATATGATAACATGACCTGCCATACATTACCAGCCGCACGCGGCCGTTCCACCGCAGCTGACCGGCCTCGAAAGAGTTAAAAAGTTCAGTTAACGCTAACACCTGGAATATAAAAGCCTCTCCAGGTATTATTCCATCCCACTGTTACGTCCACCAAGAACACAACATATCAAGGAGGACATGTGAGAAACATGAGGGTTCAGAACATTCAGTTTATTCAAACTGCTGCTTTCTGTGAAAAAAAAAAAAGATTTATGAACCCCCAATTCCCGTGTCCAGCGAAAAGACACAAAAAAAACAAAGTGTTAACTGAAAGATGGACCTGGTGCGCCAGTCAAACGGACAAAAGCAGTACCAGCAGCAGGCCAACACTTTACAGGGCCGTCGAAGCCGCTGCTGGTATCGGACTAAACTAGAAAAAGCCTAAAAGAAACTATTGTAAAAGAAAAAGCGAAAACAGGACAACCGGTCCCACCAGGCCAAAATTACTACCAAAGAAACAAACGGACAAAAAGTTAACAAAAAAGTAGCTGGTCAGGCTGAGGGACGGTTGCTGCGGCCCACATCGTCGGGAGTCCTCATCCTGGGCAGGATGAGTGAGAGGGAAGCCCAAATAAAGAGGGCAGCCAGAGAGCAGTCAGAACAAAAAGAGCCCAAAGAGAGAGAGCAACAAAAGAGAGCGGCCAGCGAGAGCATCTGAGAGAGAGAGAGCTCCTGAAGGCCAGCGGGCGGAAAACGCTTTAAAACAATCGAGCACTAATTACAAAATACACAGTGCCTTGTGAAAGTATTGGGCCCCTTGAACTTTTCAACCTTTTCCCACATTTCAGGCTTCAAACATAAAGATATAAAATTAATTTTTTGTGAAGAATCAACAACAAGTGGGACACAATCGTGAAGTGGAATGAAATTTATTGGATGTGTCAAACTTTTTTAACAAATAAAAACTGAAAAGTGGGCGTGCAGTATTATTGGCCCCCTTGCGTTAATACTTTGTAGCTCCACCTCTTGCTGCAGTTCCAGATGCAGTTCCAGCTGCAAGTCTCTTGGGGTTTGTCTCCATCAGGTTTGAACATGGAGACACTGAAGTTCTGCCCATTCTTCCTGCAGAACAGCTGGAGCTCAGTGAGGTTGGATGGAGAGCGTTTGTGAACAGCAGTCTTCAGCTCTTTCCACAGATTCTGGATTGGATTCAGGTCTGGACTTTGACTTGGCCATTCCAACACCTGGATACGTTTATTTGTGAACCATTCCATTGTAGATGTGTCTTTATGTTTTGGATCATTGTCTTGTTGGAAGATAAATCTCCGTCCCAGTCTCAGGTCTCTTGCAGACTCAAACTGGTTTTCTTCCAGAATGGTCCTGTATTTGGCCCCGTCCATCTTCACATCAATTCTGACCATCTTCCCTGTCCCTGCTGATGAAAAGCAGGCCCAAACCATGATGCTGCCACCACCATGTTTGACAGTGGGGATGGTGTGTTCAGGGTGATGAGCTGTGTTGCTTTTACTCCAAACATATCGTTTTGCATTGTAGCCAAACAGTTGGATTTTGGTTTCATGTGACCAGAGCACCTTCTTCCACATGTTTGGTGTCTCCCAGGTGACAAACTTTAAACAACACTTTTTATGGATATCTTTGAGAAATGTCTTTCTTCTTGCCACTCTTCCATAAAGGCCAGATTTGTGCAGTGTACGACTGATTGTGGTCCTATGGACAGACTCTCCCACCTCAGCTGTAGATCTCTGCAGTTCATCCAGAGTGATCATGGGCCTCTTGGCTGCATCTCTGATCATCTTCTCCTGGTTCCAGATGAAAGTTTAGAGGGACGGCCGGGTCTTGGTAGATTTGCAGTGGTCTCATACTCCTTCCATTTCAATATGATTGCTTGCACAGTGCTCCTTGGGATGTTTAAAGCTTGGGAAATCTTTTTATATCCAAATCCAGCTTTAAACTTCTCCACAACAGTATCTCGGACCTGCCTGGTGTGTTCCTTGGTCCTCATGATGCTCTCTGCACTTTGAACAGAACCCTGAGACTCTCACAGAGCAGGTGCATTTATACGGAGACTTGATTACACACAGGTGGATTCTATTGATCATCATCAGTCATTTGGGACAACATTGGATCATTCATAGATCCTCACTGAACTTCTGGACTGAGTTTGCTGCACTGAAAGTAAAGGGGCCCAATAATACTGCACGCCCCACTTTTCAGTTTTTATTTGTTAAAAAAGTGACACATCCAATAAATTTCATTCCACTTCACGATTGTGTCCCACTTGTTGTTGATTCTTCACAAAAAATTTAAATTTTATATCTTTATGTTTGAAGCCTGAAATGTGGCAAAATGTTGAAAAGTTCAAGGGGCCCAATACTTTCACAAGGCACTGTATAATTAATCAAACACCTAAAATATATCCAGGGGACAAAATAAATAATAATGCGCCTCAGGCACAAACACAAACAGCTGACTGTGTTTCATCGGTTCTGGTGACACGCCCAGCCTGACAGGTGATCGGGGCGTCAGGTTTTAATCGACGCTCCGTGTCTCCCCCAGCATACATGGAGAACCATATCAGCTCCTCTAACTTCCTGGGTCAGACCCTCCCCGCCCCCACCTCATCGGGACGTTACTCACCGACGCCGAAGAGCATGCTGGGAGACGACGACGTCACACGGTGAGGACTTTCACACACGGAGCACAGCAGTCTGTGGTCGGGTCAGTAGCAGAGATTGTTTGACAAGAAACTAAATGTTTTTATTTTTCATTCGTTTATTCATGATGCTGTAATATGTTACTAATATTTGATGCTGTGATCTTTTTTGGTAATCACTTTGACAACAGTTACAGTTTTAAATGTGCTATATGAATAAATGTGACTTGACTTCATTAGAAAACAGATTTCAGACAAACTGAACGTTTAAAAACAGACTGGTCGGTGTAAGAGTAAACATCTAACTTGCAGCCAGTTAAACGGCTCGGCTGCAGACAGGAAGCTGTAGCTCCAAGTCTCTGTGTTTCCTGCTAAATGTTTCAACTCAGGTGAAGCTGCCTCGTCACACGTGACGATGTCACGTGACCTCAGCGTGATTGACAGCTGTCTCGTCCAACAGGGAGCCCAGGAAGGTGGTTCTGCTTCGAGGAGCGACGGGTCTGGGCTTCAACATCGTGGGTGGAGAGGACGGAGAGGGGATCTTCATCTCCTTCATCCTCGCAGGAGGTCCAGCTGATCTGAGCGGGGAGCTGAGGAAAGGAGACCGGCTAGTCTCTGTACGCGCGCACACACACACACACACACACACACACACACACAAAGAGACACACATCTGCCGCTCGTCTCTGAAGAAAGTTGAAACAGGAAGTGAAGTAAAATAAATAACATCAAAGATGATTTCTTTAATCTGACTATCATTGAATTAAATCCGCTGACAGGAAGTTTGATGGATCAAAAACTACTTCCTGTTTCCAGGTGAACGGGGTTGACCTCCGTAACGCCACGCACGAGCAGGCCGCCGCCACCCTGAAGAACGCTGGGCAGACGGTGACCATCGTCGCCCACTACAGGCCGGAAGGTGAGTGCAGGACTGACGGGCTTCTCTGGAGGAAGTTGGTTCTGCTGAGAAAAAAACTAAAAACGAGTTTTTAACCATCAACGGTTTTATGATTTTCAAGCTTTACGTTAAAAAAAGGATGTGACATGTTACTTCCTCTGTGTAACATGTGACTTCCTGTGTGAGACATGTTACTTCCTCTGTGTGACATGTGACTTCCTCTGTGAGACTTGTTGCTTCCTCTGTGTGACATGTGACTTCCTGTGTGTGACATGGAACTTCCTCTGTGTGACATGTTACTTCCTCTGTGAGACATGTTACTTCCTCTGTGTGACATGTGACTTCCTGTGTGTGACATGTTACTTCCTCTATGTGACATGTTACTTCCTGTGTGAGACATGGAACTTCCTGTGTGTGACATGTTACTTCCTCTGTGTGACATGTTACTTCCTGTGTGTAACATGTGACTTCCTCTGTGTGACATGTGACTTCCTGTGTGTGACATGTTACTTCCTGTGTGAGACATGTTACTTCCTGTGTTTGACATGGAATTTCCTGTGTTTGACATGGAATTTCCTCTGTGTGACATGTTACTTCCTCTGTGTGACATGTTACTTCCTCTGTGTAACATGTGACTTCCTCTGTGACACATGTGACTTCCTCTGTGACACATGTTACTTCCTCTGTGTGACATGTTACTTCCTCTGTGTGACATGTTACTTCCTCTGTGTGACATGTTACTTCCTCTGTGTGACATGGAACTTCCTGTGTTTGACATGGAATTTCCTGTGTGAGACATGTTACTTCCTCTGTGAGACATGGAACTTCCTGTGTTTGACATGGAATTTCCTGTGTGAGACATGTTACTTCCTCTGTGTAACATGTGACTTCCTGTGTGTGACATGTTACTTCCTCTGTGTGACATGGAACTTCCTGTGTTTGACATGGAATTTCCTGTGTGAGACATGTTACTTCCTCTGTGTGACATGTTACTTCCTCTGTGTAACATGTGACTTCCCCTGTGACACATGTTACTTCCTCTGTGTGACATGTTACTTCCTCTGTGAGACATGTTACTTCCTCTGTGTGACATGTTACTTCTCTGTGAGACATGTGACTTCCTGTGTGTAACATGTGACTTCCTCTGTGAAACATGTTACTTCCTCTATGTGACATGTTACTTCCTCTGTGTAACGTGACTTCCTGTGTGAGACATGTTACTTCCTCTGTGTGACATGGAACTTCCTGTGTGAGACATGTTGCTTCCTCTGTGTGACATGTTACTTCCTGTGTGAGACATGTTACTTCCTGTGTGAGACATGTTACTTCCTCTGTGTGTTTCCTCTCAGACTACAGCCGCTTCGAGGCAAAGATCCACGACCTGCGGGAGCAGATGATGAACAGCAGCATTAGTTCTGGCTCCGGGTCTCTGAGGATGAGTCAGAAGAGGTCGCTCTATGTCAGGTGAGGTCAAAGGTCAGCGGCAGGACTCGGGGCGGTTCTGTTTTTGTTCACGGTGCATTTGTTCTGCAGAGCGCTGTTCGACTACGATAAGACGAGGGACTCGGGTCTGCCCAGTCAGGGTCTGAACTTCAAGTTCGGGGACATCCTCCACGTGGTGAACGCCTCTGACGACGAGTGGTGGCAGGCCCGGCAGCTGACGCCGCAGGGCGAGCTGGAGGAGGTGGGGGTCATCCCCAGCAAGAGGCGGTCAGTCCAACAAACAAACGCCTGTTGTTGTTTACAGGAATCTTTCGAGTCACCTAACTAGTCATTAGTGACGCGTTTCTAAAGAGGAACACAGAAGCTGCAGCCTCGTTCTGTCCCTGCAGGTTCAGCAGACACCAAAGACTCGCTCAGAGTCCCAGCAGAACTTAGACCAGGTCCAGCACTTCCCCCTCCAGCTGTTTTCATGAGCTCAGTGTTTATTTTGTCGTTTGTCACAAAGCAGCCGTTTATAGTTTTATACACTACTCTCATTTTAACTGTAGTTTATTGTTGTTTATTTACTGTTTTGTTGTCTGAACTTTATCTGATCTGTCTGGAACAGGTCTCTCTTGTAAATGAGTCCCTGTGGGTCAGTGAGGCTAACCTGTAGAAGTAAAGGTTGGATGAATGATCTGCTCCAACAAGAAGAAAACTGCTGCTTCAGCAGAGACTCACATGAACTCAACACCTGCACTGCTGACATGCACACTAATTAGATGTCAGTTTTTGGACGCATGTTTCTTCATCCACACAGATCTCTTCAGTTTATCTGATGTCCATCCATCCATGCATCCATCCATCCATCCATCCATCCATCTATCCATCCATCCATCCAATCAACCTTTATTTAAACAGGTAAATCCCATTGAGCCTCTGGGACTCATTTACAAGAGAGACCTGATTTCAACAAAGAAAGATGAAACAATGGACAACAACAACAATAAACAGTTATAAAAAGTCATACTGCAGTTTTTTTTGCATGCATGCATGGATGCATGCATCCATTCGTCTGTCCATCCATCCAACCATCCATCCATCCATCCATCCATGCATGCATCCGTCCGTCTGTCCATGCATGTATCCATCCATCCATCCGTCTGTCCATCCATCCATCCATGCATGCATC